TGGAAGAGATGGAAAAAGACAGATGGAAGGAGCACCTCCCAAAAGTAGTGCATGCGTATAATTGCACCAAACATGAGGCGACAGGCTTCTCTCCATTCTTCCTGCTATACGGACATCACCCGCACTTGCCAGTTGATCTGTTGTTTTTTCTGAGCTTTGAGGATGACCAGTACTCACCTCGGGATTATGCAGAGAAATGGGCACAATGAATGGCTGCTGCATATAAACTTGCATCGGACAACAGTAAACAAGCAAGCGCACGAAATAAGAAGTATTATGACCAGCATCTGCGAGACATCATTCTACAGCCAGAAGACCGAGTTCTGGTTCGGAACCTGAGTGAACGAGGTGGGCCTGGCAAGTTAAGATCATACTGGGAAAGAACAGTGCACGTGGTCAGAGAACGAGTAGGAGATGGTCCAGTCTATCAAGTGTAGGTCAAAATCCGGCGATGATACGTACCTTGCACCTTGATACGTAATCATCTGGTTAATGACCAGATACCTGTAGACACGCCACCTCCAGAAGCTGATGAGCTGCACAGACCTAAAAGAGTAAAAAAAAGATGGGTGAAGCCAGCAGGAGAGCCAAAGGGAGCACATTTAAGTGATACATGTTCAGAAAACAGTGACACTCCACGAACTTACTACTGGTTGCGCTCAACTTTACAAAGGGGGTTCATGAGGAGAGGACCTGTATCTGAAGACTACGGGAGAGATGGCAGGGGACTGAGGAACAGCGTTGATAAGCCTGTAAGGAATAAAAAAGACACAAAAGGATACTTACCTGTTTCCATTGAATCCCAGACATCAAGAGGATACTTACCTGTTTCAGTTGAATCCCAAGCACCAAGAGAAAACTTACCTGTGTCCACGGAACCTCAGCCACCTGATGACTTTCCTGTTGTGCTGGAACTAGAAGGAATGGAAGGGGAGCTGGAAGAGACAATGCCTGTGGAGAGAAAAAGACAGATGATTAGTCAGAGGGAAGAGAGTGTTGAAAGTTAAATTGTGAGGAGATCTAAAAGAGAAAGGAATCCTACAAGGTTTTTGACATATTCTTACTTGGGTCAACCCAGTTATGAACCACCTACTGAAATAAGTGCAGTACAGGTGATGCCGGTTCAGAGACTGCCATATTGTCCTCATGGTGTGCAGGGACCAGTTTATATGACATGTGGTTATGCCCCACCAGTACTTCCCTATCAGATAGAGTCATATTCTGCATTATCAACCTACTTGGCCTATTGATGAATATTAAAGAGTAATACATGCTAGAGTAGGACATTTGGAATATGCACAGACAGACATGAATGTAGAGACTCACCACAATTTTATGCACTTACCAATAGTACACTTAAATCAAATATTGAAACCTGCTGAAATCTCTGAAAAGTGAATTTTTGTGAGAGTTAAAGGGACAGTGATGCATGGAGCAATTTCTTTTGTTGGTGAGAGTGTGACACCCTGAATGTTTGGTCACATGTATTTATATGTATATATGTATGTTTATTCCTTACAATTGATTATATTAATGTATTTATGCATGTTAAATCTGTCTGTCTTTGTTGATTATTTTCTTTAATATTGCTACAACTAACTTGTGATATGATATAATACTGTTCCATTACTAGAGCAGCTCAACTTTGAATAACAACGCAACTTTGTCCGTCTCATTATTTCTGTCAAATAGGTGGGTAAATCCTGTCACAATGTATATATAATGTCAAGATAACATGTTACTCAAGTGTATCTACCAGTTAAGTGAGGTAATGTACGGTTTAAGAGTTAATTAATAACAGAGATTGTATCCGCTTGTCATAATGGCCGTTAACAGCCCGTGTGTTTTATATATTAATTTCAAAGTTAACAAAAATGCTCCAGCATGCTGAAATCCCATACTAATGTTAAGTTAATGTATTAAAGTTTACAAACAGGGTGTTTATCTCAGGAACGTGAATTTATTGTGTGATTGCTGTTTATATACTGGGATTAAAGTGGTGCTACTTATGATTTAGTTTTGTATGATTACAGTAGGCCCTATTGGTTAAAAATATTTGTTATACTCATCAAATTTAAGTGTTGATTTTATATTACAGAAAGCTAGCTCAAGTATTCAGTTCAGATGAATGATATTTTGCTTAATATGTTTTATGCTTATATGGACGCTTGGTCAAATGCTTTATTCTAGATATATGAAGCATATAGAAACAGTCTGATAAGGTTATATCAGTTTATGTGGACTAAGTATTAAATTGATTCCAGTAATATGTCTTAAGTGTGTACTGTATAAAAAGTGAAAGCATAAAGAAAAAGCCAAAACAAGGGTTTGGTTATGCAGAAAAGACTGTTTATTGATTTTTGCTGGATCACATGTAAAAGACTTCAAGAATTATTATTGCTGAATAGAGATATTCATTGTGATTTATCACAAGACATTGTGATTAAATGATTGTAATAAAGTCATTACTAGAGCGGCTCAACTTTGAATAACAACACAACTTTGTCCGTCTAATTACTTCTGTCAAATAGATTTCACTGCAGTATTGCCAACTGGACAGTTGGTGTGCTACACTAGCGCAAGACTTGAAATGAAAATGGTTCGAAAACTCATCACACAGGCAGTGGCATACTGGCACCTACTGTCTGTTTTAATTTAATTTCATATTGTTGTTACTTTTTTATATTTAAAACAGTAATGCCATTATTTACGGAATTGTACTTTTACATTTTGAATGGTTACATTTGACTGGTAAATGTCTTGTTGATTTTTAAAAAATAAATAATGAACTTTATTAAAATTCTATTAACATTGCATTAAATTAATATTTTATTAAATTATTTAATTTGACAAAATATGACTGATACATTTCATAAGGCTAGAAAAAACGCCTATAAAAGTAAAAAATGACTTAAGAAATCAGTTTAAGGGAAAAGCAAATAGTCCCCATGCCCCGAAGTCCTGCCCTCCAGATAGGTAATAAAATCTATGCAATAAACTGTAAACTGTCCAGACTGCATGCAACATTCTACTACCCATCACTGCTCACAATAAAGTAATTGGTAAATTACATAATAAAAAATAGTAAATTGTTATTAGAGGCATTATTTTATCCTTAATGACTGGGTTATTTATCAAACCACCATGTAAAAATTTTATTCATTATTATTATTTTTTAGGAGGAACTGGATCAAGTGGCATCATCATGGGACAATCACAGAATTCGACCAGTACATACATCTCGATCTCCAAATGGTCGTCCAGCTATTATGCATGCGGTACCTCAGTTATATGGCGCGAGAGATTACTTACACTCTGTGAGCCTAGAAGAAGTTGCAGTGTGTCTGGAAGAATGTGTATTCAAAGACTACCCTTGTGACAAATATGTGTTTGATGTATTGTGTTCACCTCATAACAGAACACAATCTGGATATGTCAAAAGATGTCTATTCAACTTTGGATACTTATTTCAAACAAAGTTGATAAATAATAAACTAAGTGACAGACTAAATCTGTTATGTGTATCATCGGCTGTTTGATTGGATTGGAAACATCTAAAAAATATTCTCTGCTGAGTAATATTAAAATTTGTTGAGGTTCAGCAACAGTACCTTAATAATGATTTTTTTCT